GGAATGGTGGGGGAGGGGTGTGCAGGGTGGAGGGGAATGAAGGGGTGGAATAGAACAAATGTAATGGCGTAATCAATAAAATTTTAAAAATTTTAAAAAGTAAAAAAAAAAGAAATAAGAATGTTGTTTCTAAATTCTTTCTTAGAGCCCCTGTTCAACTAGATATATTATGAAAAAATAAACACTCCATCAAAGTTTTAGAAGTGTAACACATATATATATCCCCAATTTATTTGGCTATGAAAACCTTTGGTAGAGCATCTTTTAAAAAAATAATTTGTGAGGGTCTTGTATAATAGTAAACTTTATTTTAAATTATGTTCTTCATATATTAGCCTAAACAGTGCTAAATCAATAATTATGCTTGGAATTATAGCATAAATAAGTAATAAAAAAAGATTTGCTATAGAAAAGGTATAATTGGATGAACTGTACAGATATCATATTCTGCAATCTTAGACTGAGAATAGCCTAGCTAGATTATGTACCATAAATCTAATTATTCTTTCTGCATGGTAGGAGAAACAGGTACATTTAACCCTTGAACAGCATGGGGGTAAGGGGTACCAACCAGTCACTCAGTCCAAAATGCGCGTGTAACTTTTGACTTCCCCAAAATCTTATAGTTCTCCCCTAGATTCCATGAGGAACCTCCTGCCCCACATCAATGGATGCTCAAGTCCCATGTGTAAAATGGCATAGTACAATGCATGCAAACAGCCCTCCACATGCATGGACTCCCAGCCTGGTGAGATGGAGGGCTCACTGAATATTTATTGAAAAGAAAACCAAAATATAAGTGGCCCTACCCTGTGCAGTTCAAATCCACATTGTTCAAGTTTCACCTTTATTTTCAAAATCATTTCAAAATGAAACATCAGGATTCAACCTATTTTAGTGATGGCAAAGATGTTTACAAGTCAAAAGCCTCCTAAATAATATGTAGCTGTCAGTCCTGTCCATCTCTAATCATTTTTTTTCAGAATGCTACCAGTTATCTTCTAATAGACACATTGATAGTGATATTCCCTTACTTAAAAATCTTTCTATAGCTCCCAAATGCTTTGAAGTAGAAAATTCAAGCCTTAATTTTGTCCATCTGGTTCTAATCTACTTTCCAAATTCTCCTGCCACTTCCACACGTGTTGTAGCCATATAAGGTTGTATCGATAGATGGCTGTTTCATGCTTCCTTGACTTTGAAATTATCTTCCCCTCTTTCCTTCCTTCATTAGTTAAATTACTACACCTTTCAACCCCCAACTCATATGACTTTTCACAGTAGCAGTAAAAACCGTATTTCTTTATAAATGCAGTTCACTCTGCATTTCAGAAAAGCCATTATGTATTTGAAATGGCATGTTTTAAAATCTATGAATACATGAAGATTACTGATTTTGATTAGTGGTCAGGATATTTTCAGTGGATATCCTTAAAACTTACTGCCATCTCTTCTACATTCCATTCTCAGATTCAATCCCACAGATGCTTACTGAAAACCAAATTATGTCCTAGACACACAGTCTTACTAAGACTGGGCCTGAAGTCTTCTCTACAGCTAAATGCATATGCAATAGGAAGTTAAGTGGAATTCTTCCTCTTACTTCAAAATTGTGGCTAAAATCCAAAGCTGAGAATAATTAGTATCTCTTCTTTTAGCTTCAAGGAGTTAACAGCAGTTGGTAACATCCTTTTTTCTTAGAGCTTACTGAGAGTCACTGGTTTACTGAACCTGCCCTATTGTCAATATTGTAATACCTTCCCTCAATGTGAATCTAAAGAGGCTGAAAAGAAAGAGGGGTTTACTGGATTTTTAGGGGAACAGAGAATTATGAAAAGATGATATTCCACCCCCTCTTTGCGGAGAAAAGCAGTTGTCATATGTGATTCCAGGTAAGAATCAAAGTTTGAGGTCATTTAAAAGAAAGGCACACTAGTATTTCATTCCCCTGTTTGGTTATCTGTATAGGACAAAGATTTGCTGAATTTCCCCATTATATGTACAGGGGAGAAGAGAAATGGAGAGTGTGGTAAGGAAGCAATGGATAGATAGACAGGCAAGACTACTGCCCACCTTGAGTCATTGGTTCCCAACAGGTATAAAAAAAATGTAAGCTTTTCCCCAATGTGCTTGTAGACCCTAGAACTGGCCACAGGAGGTAGATCTTATTGGATAAAGTCTTCACCCTTCCACCCCACAAAAAGAAAAATAGCAGAGTCACATGGTATGAATGCCATCAGCCAGGTTTAGCCAGAAGATGTTGCCACATCTTGCAAGGGATAGCCAATGCCTATTGAAATGGGACAGGAATGAGCTCACTGTCAGCAGAGTACATTGGAGCTACCACTCAGATGATAGTGGTAGCTATCATCTTCATTTAGCCTGTTGACAATAAGCTGGAGATTACTGTTCAACAACTAAGGAGGAGGACTGCCACCTCAACACTGGGACACCATGCAGAATTCTGCCCGCCCCCCTTCCCAGCTTTAACACCAGAGAAAGAAAAAGCACAAGAAAACGAGAGGACAGAAGTGTGTGACCAAAAACCCTGCTCGCCCACCTCCTAAGTTTTCATCCCCATATTAAGGTCAGTTTGTCCTGGGATAAAGTGATAAGAGTACCACATCAAGCCCTCGATTGGAGTTACATGAAAAAAAACTAAGTCTTAAAAACTGAAGTGAGACTACAGAATGTAAATATTATGTAACAGTGACACGATGCTGTTAAGGTAGGAAAGGAGAGTGTGGCATGGAAGAGGTAGAAAGCAGTCACTATATAAAAAGTAAAACTGATACACATTTATATACCAGCAAGTTGAGATCTTCAAAGAACTGGTTACACACAAATAGTCTCTAAAATTAGTTTCCCTATATATTGGCGTTCCAACTCTCCATTTCTTTTTTGTATAATGAATGAAATCCTGGTATGAGCTCTATGATATTGTGATATTTAAGTCTAGAACATGTCCATCTACTTGCTCACTACTATTTGCTGTTCTATCTGAAAAATACTAAGTGGATAACAGCCATCCTTCTATATATGGAAAGATACCACCAAAGTCACAGATACGAATGGATATATAAGCCTTACTAATAATGGAGGATGTTGGAAGTAGCAATAGGTACTTCAAGGAATAAAGTGAAGGAGACTTATGAAAACAAAGCTCAGAAAGCAGAAATTACTTTGACAACTCAATGCTTTCAATAATCACCTTTTAATGATCCAACCAAAGAAGAAACCACAAGAGGCTTATCTGACAAAGGAAAAATGAATGTACTGTAAATGGAGATTGTTCAACCACATGATTCAGAGGAAGGAAAATGAAGGTTCTAAAGAAAGAGAGGAAGAGAAAAGCAAGTAAAGGCCGGTCAGGAAGGAGGACCAGAACTGGGGCTGCACATGGAGGATGGATCAGCATGGGTGATAGACAGAGGAGAACAATTCCTGGATGGATGAGAGACAATGATGTAAAGTGGCTGTGACACATTGCAATATTAATACATACCGAGACTGAATTGCGGGTAATGCTCATAAATCTAACTGCAATTAGTACAGGTTTCTGGATTAGGAAGGACATGAAAAGGAAAGCAGAAGGTTAGAATGTACATGTCATTGCCCCATTAAAAGAGAAGGTTTAATCTTTAAATGGACTTCTGTCTGCAGCACCAGCAAAAAAAGCACAGCTGGTCTACCTGCTTTGAAAATTTGTGAGGGGAGGTTGGTTGGGGGTGGAAGAATCAGGCAACAAGGAAAAAGGACTCATGGACGTGGACAATAGTGTGGTGACTGCAGGAGGCCGGGGGGAGGGTTTAAGGGGGACAAATGGTAGTGAAAAAAGTAAAATTAAAAAAAAAAAGAAAAGTAGCTTTTTAGGAAAAGGTCTCTTCCCTTCCTCCCTGGCTGAGCACCGCTAAACTGGGCCTCTCGGAAGTGAATTCCTGAAAACTGATACTACAGAAAGAGTTTCACTTTTTTTTTCTTTAAGAGTTTCACTTTTAAATGGGTTTCTTTTTTTCATTTTCTGGGGAAACAATGTAGATAGTGTCCTGTGATGGGTTTTATTTAAAACCTTTACTGCCTGGTAACAGTCTATGTTTAGATTTGTTTTTAGAAAAGACCCTTTGCTAATTTAATCAACAAACATTTGGTGAGCACTTGTTCTGTGCCAGAAAGTTTCAATAGTGAATAAAGAACAAAGTTACTTTATTACTAATCTAAATATTAACTATGAAGGTATGAATTAGTATTGCTGGGTCCCTGCTTCTCTTTAGAGATTTACTGGGGATCTGAGTGGAAGTTCATCACTACCATTTTGTTTTACAATTAAGGAGAAGAGCAAATGGGCAATAATTAAATTTCATTCACAGTAGTTTTCCAGTTACCCAGATTCTACTGATTATTGGTCAGTGAGAACTGGAATTATCTACATATAGGCCACTGGTAGCAAAGGAAAATATTAAACAAAAGTGGGCAAATGGAGGAAATAATTTTTCCAAAACCTAACAATAAACCCTTAAACGATCTTTATTTGATAGCAGTAGGCTCATAGATGGAATTCCATTTCCTTATAAATAATATTTTTGCAATTGGTTAAGTTCTCTACATCCTAGGAGTCTAGCAGGACCACCCTAGGGACATGGTTGAGGGTAGGACCAGATGGTGGAAGGAAGTAGAGAAAAAAGTTAAGATGGGTTAAGTTTTCATAGAAAGGACAGGAAAAGAAAACAGGGCAGATTATTAAACCACCAACATTTTATTCAAATCCCTGTACTTGATTTTTAAAATTCTACACATTTAACTGCACATACATTCTGTATACACAAATAAAGAGAGCTAAAAGATCAAACATGAAGCATCCACAGTGCCCTGAGATTTGATATATATTTTTTTACTTGTTCTCTGTGAAAAAGATTCAGAGAATAATCTTTCTCTCCACCACAAACGCACTTAAACCCCAGGAAGGCTCCCGCTTGCCCATGATTCCATGTTGTGCATCTTACCATTGATCTACGAATCAGTGACAACCTGGTCTTTGCCTTATTCTCAGCAAATTCCAGGCTGCTAATGTCTTTGAGACGAGCCTTATATTTATTCATTTGTTCCACAACAATCAGCTCCACACAGCTGAAACAGGAGGAAAGAGAGAAAACTGTTAAAGAGATGAAGTAAATCAAATAAATAGTAGCACCCACAGACTGTTTTTCAGCTAAGTGTGGTAGATGGTAGGAGGATGAAAGAAAAATCAACATCCCTTATTTTGTGAGCTCAGAGATGTTTTGGAATGATGGTTTAGAACTCTGGCTGCACTTTAGTACCCATCTGAGGAGTAGTTTTAAGTCCCAGTGCCACACACTAGGACAATTGTTCTGGCCACACACCAGAACAATTAAATCAGACTAGACTCTCTGAAAATAGGACACAAACAGCAGTATATTTTTAAAGGTCCTTTTGCAATCAAAGTTAAAAACCACAACTCCAGAAGGAAAGCAGAGGTTCACAAAAAAAAAAACCAACAAAAAAGGAGGCCTTAGGTGAAATACAGGAATATTAAGTACTAAGAACAAAGGGATTCAGAGCCATAAGACCATAGTTAGACTATATTAAAGAAAGATACAAGTGTACACAATTTGGTAAATTGGGATTTAAAAATATATTTAGAAACTATAGCATTCCTAAAGAAAAGCCAAATTTTAAAAATAAATTTCTTCAAAACAAATGATGCAATGATGCTCAGTTGAACAGACACTAAAGAACTTTTTTCATCTCCAGCATAAAAAGCCTCAAGGTATCCAGCAATCTTTTTAAAATAATCTGAGCTTATAAAATCATTCACTGTGTTTACTATCTAGATAGTTACTATACTGACTCAAGTCCCTGGGGTCTTATAGAGGTGACAGTGACTGGCCTTACGTGGTAGTCTTACTGATGTCCTGCACGCTTTGCAGTGGGTCTATGGTGTCAGGGCAGCGGAGAATGCAGGGTGCAAACACAATGGCCAAAGCATTAGCAGACATTCGATTAGTGTTTTCTTGTAGAGCAATCCTAAGAAAACAAAAACAAAACAAAACGGAACACCCAAGTGAAATAAGGATACAAATGGAAAACAGTAAGGAGGTATGTAGAAGAGATGAGAGAAAGAAGATGAATGACATTAAATGCATAGTACTGAAGGATATTCGTAACAGCTGAAGGGAGACACTGCAGGCTTTTCCCAAAGCTGTTTCTTTGCCTTTGGAAAATACATTTTCACTGCTATTTCCTTGAAGAAATGCAGGCCACTAGGTAGCTTATCGAGGGAAATCTATGACCCATGGCTCAAAGTTACCATCACTAGAAGGGTATGTCTGAAGCATGTGGAGTGGAGACATTAAAGCATTTTCAGAGTCATATTTATCCAAAAAGAAACCTGGTGTTCTTCCTACTACTGCTGATATTTACACTCGGGAAGAGAGACTACTGAAGTCTCTTTGGCCAGTTAGTCAATTCCTAAGTACCACCTGAACCCACCTCCTACGAAGGTTATGTCTACAGATACACAAACTTCAGGATTTAAATAACAGGTTAGGCTACACAGTGCCACCCTGAGGCTGAAGTTCTTACTTGGCTCAAATAGGGAAGAGAAGCAGCTGCCATACAGTACAACTAGCCTAAGGATTTCTGCTCCAAGGAATAATTAACTACCTATTTGAGGCACTGACTCTATACCCAAGGAAAGAAAATATCTGTCTAGTTTTCCAAATAGAGGAGCTCTTCACTTACTTAGAAGAATCCAAGGAAAACTGTTAAGCATTCCCTTGCTTCTTGAAGTTACCTGACTAAATGAAAGATGAGGCGTTCCAGTGTATTGAGATGAGTTCGGGAGAGCTGGTCAATCACAGAATATACACCACGGATTGTCTCTTTCCTCTCCTGAAGGCCTAAAAACAGTAGGAGCAGCAAATAAGACTGACTATCCCTTCTTATATTCTATATATTCCTCCTTACAGACAACGGGTGGCAGGGGAGACTGGCTTGAGAGTTTTGGGAGATGCAACTATACCTGTGTGGCAGGTAACTCACATTTACTACTAATCTCTCATTGCTTGAGTTCTATGTTCACTAAGGAATCTGCTGAGTTTTAATTCATATTCCAGTAATCCTTGAGATAATTATAGCAAGGAGAAAGAGATACCCTAGTTTTTCAAGCATTTGGTGGCTAACTGATCCCCCAGTAAAAGTAATCGACTGCCATATAATTTATAAATCAGTCTGATGGGACTTTGAGAAGCATGCCTCAAGGCCTATATACTTCTAGGCCTTCATTCATAGTCTACACATCTATAGTACTAAAAAACTAAACTCCACTACCTGCTAGGCCTGGCATAAAATAGCCAGCTTTACACAGAATTCTTGCCTACATTCACAATGTAAATGATCATAAGCTAACCCTTAAATATCCTATTTAAGAAGCAACTAAGTAAGTGACTTACTCAGAAAACCTTTTGGACACTAAAATGTTAATGAGTCTCTAAAAAAGTTAACATTTACTGAAAGTTTTATATTAATTATCAGAAGTTTACTTTTTGATCTATATGGACTGAACCACTAGAATATGGCTAAATAAATGATAATGAAGATGGCGTTCCTTTCCCAAGCCTGGGCCTTCCCTCAAACCCAGGAAGCCATGCTTACCCATAGCTCGAAGAAATTCCTCGTAGAGCTCAAAGGTCATGAGTGGATTGGGCAAATCACGAAGCCATTGTTTGAATACACTTGCAATGACATGTATGTTATAGTCATCCAGGTTTACACTCTCAGCATCTATTTATAAACAAGAGTTAGATAACAAAGATAAAATATGCAAAGAGGTTCAAATGATTCACTTTACAAACTATCATCACCAAAAGGTTTCATGTTGTTAATTAGATTGACTAACTTAATATCTTCTACAATCTAATCCCATCCTTTAGAACAGTGCTTCTAACCATAGTAAAGGAACAGGTTTTTTTTATTTTCCAAATCTGTCATAGATTGATCTGTGTGTAAAATAAAAAATTATGTTTTCATATCAAAGCACTATTAAACTGCTCTACAAGTTTCTAAATGCTTGCTCTCAACTTCTGTACTGAGCCTGCTGTGGATTAGTCCTGAACCCCACACTGACAATGCTTTAGATGACAAATGGCAAAAAAAGCCCAGAGGACATTTTTTAAAGTAAAGCTGATTTTAAGTCATTCTTAGAAATGAAAGGAGTGTAATAATTGAGCTTAGGAAATGTAAAGGAAACACCTTTACTTTGTTTCACTTACAAACTCTCTACGGAGTTTACACAGAGGAGGTTTATTGATGAGACTAGACTGGAAGGATAAAGAACAACTGATTTTTTCACTTGTGCTGACTCAAGATACAAGAAACAAGATGGCAATATCCTTTCAACTGGAGTAAACCAAGTTTCTGTAGACAGAACCTTCTGCTTGAGTTTTATTAGGCATTTTCTATTATTATTTTCATACTTGATTCAGTTCTCACTGATTTGTTCACTAAAAAAACCCCAAAAAACCCCAGAGAGGTAAGGTATGTGGTTAGATTCTTAGCTATGCAGAGACTGGCTTTGTACAGAACCGTGATCCAAAAAGACCTATTCTAACCTGACCAGTGTGGCTTAGTTGATTGGAAGCCACTCCACAAAGTGAAAGGTTGCCAGTTTGATTCTGGGTCAGGGCACATACCTACACTACAAGTTTGGTCCCCAATCAGGGTTCATACGAGAAGCAACTAATCAATGTTTCTCTCTCATGTCGATGTTTCTCTCCCTCTCCTTCTCCCTCTGTTACCCTCTCTCTAAAAATAATAAATAAAATCTTCAAAGAAAAAAGACCTATTCCTTTCCAATAGTGGTAAAGAGTGTAAGTTGATAATGAAACCCAAGTCAACCCCCTGGATATATTCCAGGGCTGTGGCTAGAGCTGTATACAGATACATGTTCAATACACTAGTATCACTTTAAATAACTATGTCCTCAGTGTAGGGAGGCAGGAAGATGCACTGGAACCAGCACTTGGAGTCAGAATAACAGAGACTAACAGGCTATAGTTTAGATTCTAAATCAGAAGATGTGGGGTTAAATTCCAGCTTGATCACTTATCGGTGATGAGTCTTTGGACAAAATCCTCTGTAAACCTCTGTTTCTTTATCTGTAATGGGGACAATAATCCCTAATTCATAGGGATTGCCATGAAGATTATTATAAAAACATTAACTCAGTGCCCTGCATCATAATCAACAGCTCATTGTTTAATTCCCTGAACCTAAATTTTTTTCTTTGCAAATTACAGATATCATGATCTTACTAGACTGTTAAGATTAAATGAGATATGCCTGAGGTACCTAATAATGCCTTGTCTCAATAACACACTCAAATATATGTTTGCTGAATTGACCACATAAAAAGAAGTCTCTTTAGGAAGCCACGAAATGATAAACAAGCACCACACAAAAAAAAACAACCCTACATTCTTCTGGCTACAAGAAAATGATCAACATGTAATGAAAATTCTAAGAACACAAAATGACCTATTTAAATAAAAGTATTTGGTCTTGACTTGGAGGGCACCATCTTACCTGTATCTAGACCTTGTCGAAGCTCCTTGATTTTATTAGTTGAACCAGACTTTCGATAAATACCTTCTGTATACAGTCCATGCATTTCAATGTAGTTTATAAGCTTTTCCACCACTAAAGGAACAGTTCGGTCTTCGCTTGTCAAACGGGACAGTTCAACCCCAAACTGTCGAGATGACAGCTCTGGATCATACTAAATGGGAGAGAATTTTTGTTTTCAAATATGTTCAAACGCCTTTAAACATGTTTAACCAATTCTTTAAGAGGAGTTACTTTTTGTTTCCCTGAAGTTTTATGAGCATAATTGAGAGTTAGGAGAAAAGGGAATCATGGTTAAAGCTGACAGTATAAATAAGCAAGATGTTTGCTTCCATCCTCTCCCACTAGGAATATACCCCAAACATGCCGGGGTGAAGAATGAAGGTGGTGGCAGCAGGCTGCTGTTTCCCTTTCTGTTAAAAATCTCTTCATGTAAAGGTGGGATGTGGGCAATACAGAAGGGATCGAATTATTTAAATGTATTCTAAACATTTAACAGGTACCATTAAAAAATTTACTAATTTGATAGGAGTTAGGATATATAGTAACTTATAAAGCATAGGAATGTTTTGATGTGGGGAATTGGGAACAAATTATAATTGTACAACACTAAAAAATATATTTAAAAAAACCAACCAGAATTTTAAGTTTCAATCCATTGTCATTCCCACTTTTCCACTGAACTTGGCTTAAATAAAAGCTTTACACACACACACACACACACACACACACACAGAATGTTTCTATGTTTATGTAAACCTTTGGGAAGTTCAACTAAACACTGAGGGCACAGTTAAAAACAGAGGCACACACAAATTGTCCCAAGGTTAGTAGTCTAGGTCTTTTTAAAATTTACTGTAAGCCTGGGCTGGAGTAGCTCAGTGTACTGAGGGCCAGCCTGTGAACTGAGAGGTTGCCATTTCGATTCCCAGTCAGGGCACATGCCTCGGTTTCAGACCAGGTCCCCGGGTGGGGACATCAATATTTCTCTCCCTCTCTTTCTCCTTCCTATCCCCTCTCTCTAAAAATAAACAAATAAAATAAAAAAATAATTTTAAAACTCTTAAAAAACAAAATTTACCTTAATACTGTATCTATTATACTTTACTAACTATAGTTTATGTGACTGTAAAAGAATAGCTTATCCTTAAGATTATTTGAATTCTCAGAAAAGAAAAACACCAGGGATTATTTGAGACAAAAACCTTTTTAATAATTTTTTTTGCCCTTTCCTTCTTCTCCTGTACCATTCATTCTCCTTCACTAATCCAACGCTGTGCACCCCACTCTCTTCCTCTCTGTACCCAATCAAGTGCCAAGTTCTTTTAGTCAAGCAGTACATCAGGGTGACATGTCAAACTCATTGTCACTGGGGGCCACCTGGGCCTTGCAGCCGCCTTCAAAAGGTTGAATGTAATTTCAACTCCTTAACAGTTAAGGAGTAGTTACATTTATACAGTGTAAAATTATTTCAGCCCTTTGAAGGCAACCATGAAGTTGATGTGGCCCCCGGTGAAAATTAGTTTGACACCCCTGCAGTACACTCCGTGCTTTTTCTCCTGTTCTCAGTGCCATTACCCTAATTCAAACCTGTAGTACTGACCACTTGGACTATTCCAGCAGCTTCGTGATCAATCCCTACATCCATTTTCTCTTTACTTAATATACTGAAGAGTGTATATATTCTACTTTATTATCCTCTAAAACCTTCAGTGTCTAATCACTACATATTAAATAAAAGGTGCAAACACTGGTGAATCTAACATTTAAGATATTATTACATGAGTGTATCTTAATTTCTCCTTTTAGTCTTATGTTAATACATTTGTCACTTATGTGCTAGATAACGAAAACAAAATCAAATAAGAAATAGTCATTAACCCTACAACTAATGCTAAGACTAGTAGTTTCAGTGAGTGGAGATAGGTAAAACACAAACAACAGATTCGTTTGGTATTAGGGAACTACAGAAGTGAAACAGCTACATCAGGAAGGACTGGGCAACTATTTGGATGATTCAGAAAGCCACAGCCACGGGCAACTGGTGTTTGGCAGCTTCATCATGAGAATAGGCCTGCTCACATATTACTACAAAAAGTTTTTTTTGCAAAACAACAAATCAACCAGGTGACTCTGCCCCCTACAACCCAGACTTGGTGCCCTGAGATTTCTGGCTTTTCCCAAAACTAAAATCACCCTTGAAAGGGAAAAGATTTCAGACCATCCATGAAATTGAGGAAAATACAACAGGGCAGCTTATGGTTATTGAGAGAACTGTGTGAGGTCCCAAGGTGTCTACTTTGAAGAGAACTGAGGTGTCATTGTCCTATGTACAATGTTTCTTGTATCTTCATCAATAAATGTCTCTATTCTCAATATTACATGGCTAGATACCTTCTGGACAAACCATGTATACTGATTTGTAATGTTCCTTTATTTAAATAGAATTTTCAAAACCATATGGACCTAGAGAGCTCTTTGTGGGATGATTTTCAATTATAGATTCTACTTTAATAAATATGACTCCAGACTTTCTATTTTTTCTTGGCTTAGTTTAGTTAAGCTGTGCTTTTGTGGAAATTTGCTCCATTAGTCTAAACTGTCAAATTTATTGTTAACAAGGTATTTATAACAGCCTTTTATTTTCTTTATAATATGTGCAGTATCTGCAGTGACATGAGCATTTTTATTCTTAAATAATAACACTTCCTGTTAAAAAAGTTATCACTTGCTAAGAGTTTAGTGTTTTAGGCTTTTCAAAGACCTACAATGTGTCTTTATACATTTTTATCTCGCACAAAAGCTTTTGATTCCATTTATTTCTCTTTATTATCTACCCTTTGCTGTCTTTGGGTTTAATATTGTTTCTAGTTTCTAAAGATGACAGTTGAGATCATTTCTATGATTTTATCTTTTCTAATGTATGATTTAAAGCATTAAATATTCCTCTAATTACAACTTTAGCTACAGCCATACTTCTGCTATGTCATAAGTTTGTTATCATTGAACTCAAAATATTTTTCATTTATATTATATCAGTAATTTAGAAGTATACTGCTTAATTTCCAAACATATGAGGATTGTCTACTTATATTTATATTGAGTTTTACATAAATTCAATTCTGCTCAGAAAATGTACTCAATATTTTTTTTTTAGTCTTTAAAAAGTTGATTTATTTCTGGTTTATTTTTTCTTTTTTGTTTAATTTAGTGGGGTGACACTGGTCAACAAATATTATATAGGTTTCGGGTGCACAGTTCCATAACACATCATGTGAACACTGTATTGGGTGTTCACCATCCTAAGTCAAGTCTCCTTCCATCACCATTTATCTCCTCGACCTCTCTCCCCAATCACACCCCACCCTCCCCTCCCATACCCCTCCCAAGGCTATCATCACACTGTTGTTTGTGTCCAGGAATTCTATCTTTTATTTTTTTTCATTCAATCCCTCTACCCCCCCCTCCCCTAATCCACGCCCCTAACCCCACTCCCAACAGTTGTCATTCTACTCTCTCTGAGTCTGTCTCTATTTTGCTTATTAGTGCATTTTGTTCATTGGACTCTTCATATGAGTGAAATCATACGTATTTCTTGGATTGGCTTACTTCATGTAGCATAATGCTCTACAGGTCCATCCATGGTGCTGCAAAAGAGAAGATTTCTTTCTTTTTATGGCCAAGTAGTATTCCACTGTACAAATGTACCACAACATTTTTATCCACTCATCTACTAATGGACACATGGGCTGCTTCCAAATCTTCCTCTCATAAATAACACTGCAGTGAACACAGTGGTGCATGTATTCTTCTGAATTAGTGCTTCAGGTTTCTTTGTATAAATTCCCAGAAGTGGAATTGCTGGGTCACAAGGCAGTTCCATTTTTAATTTTATGAGACAACTCCATACTGCTCTCCACAGTGGCTGCAAGAAAGTACATTCCCACCCACAGTGGACAAAGAGGGTTCCCCTATCTCCACATTCTTGCCAACACTCATTTATTTATTTATTGACAAAAGCCATTTTGACAGGTGTGAAGTGATATCTCACTATGGTTTTTAACTTGCATTTCTCTGATGATTTCACAGAATATCTTTTCATATATCTATTGGACATCAGTATGTCTTCTTTGGTGTCTACTCACGCCCTTTGCTAATTTTAAGATTATATTGTTTGTTGTTTTGGTGTTGAGCTTTTTAAGCTCTTTATAAATTTTGGTTATTAGACCCTTAATGGATGTTATCATTGGCAAATATGTCCTCCCAATCAGAAAGTTGTCTTTTTGTTTTGTTCATGCTTTCCTTTGCTGTGAAGAACATTTTACAATAATTTGATATTGTCCTATTTGTTTATTTTGTTTTGTTTTGTTTACCCTTGCGTGAGAAGGTATATCAGAAGGAAATATTGCTGTAACAAATGAGGTTTACTGCCTATGTTTTCATAGATTTTTATAGTTTTGAGTCTAACATTTAAGCCTTTAATTGATTTTGAATTTATTTTTGTATATGGTGTAATAAGATTGTCTAGTTTCATTTTTTACATGTATTTGTCCAATCTTCCCAATACTATATATTGATTAGACTATCTTTATTCCATGTATGTTTTTGCCTCCTTTGTCAAATATTTACTATAAAGACATAAGTTTATCTCAGGGCTTTTTATTCTGTTTTATTGATATGTACGTCTGTTTTTATGCTAGTACTATGCTGTTTTGATTACTATGGCTTTGTAGTATAGTTTGATATTAGCATAATTCCTCCGACTTTGTTCTTTTTCAAGATAGCTGTGGCTATTCAGGGTCTTTTGTAGATCCATTTAAAATTTTCGAATGTTTGTGATAGTTCTGTGAAATATGCATTGGTATCTTGATAGGAACTGCATTAAATCTATATTGGGCAGTATGCCCAATACATTTTAATGATGCTAATTCTTCCTATCTGTGAACATAGTATATACTTCCACTTACTTGTATCTTCTTCAATACCTTGTAATTTTCCAAGTACAGGTCTTTTTTTATATACTTGGTTAAATTTATTCCTAGGGATTTTATTCTTTTTGAAGCAATTGTGAATACAGGCTTTTTTCTTAGTTTCTCTTTCTGATACTTCATTATTGTTGTATAAGAATGCAACAGATCTCTGGATGTTTACTGT